AATATATAGTCCATTCTCCCTACGACCTATCCCAATCAGCTTCTGAGATTGCAGATCCTGTACACAACAAAAAGAACCCGAAAAAATAACTAAATAATCACCAGAATCATATATTTGACCAACAGATGCAAGATTCAATTTGAGTTTTGGAATAAGATAAACATTAGGGAGAGATAAGTGAGGTGTGACAATAGAACCAACACCTGCTAAGGGCATAGGAGTGTCATCAGCAGTCATAACAGGAATGGAAGACAAATGGGACACAAAGGTAAAAGATGAGGAATCTGGAGACATATAATGAGAAGCACCAGAATCCAAGATCCATTCAAAGTGTGGCATACCTAAGGAACTATGAGGCAACTGACCTATGGAAGAAGAAGCGGACATTGCTTGTGGTTGCATGGAGAGAAACTTCTGAAATTGCTCAGTCAAAGTATTGGGATTGGTAATAGAGCCTGGGAAAGTTACTGTTGCAGTATTATGGTGTGATGGTTTATAACCCTGAGGTGGTCTATAAGTAATAGATTGTGACTGACTGCCAAACTTCCAAGCTTGATTCTGTTGTCTCAACTTAGGACACTAAGTCTTCCAATGACCTTTCTGCTTACAGAAATTGCAATCATCAAAGCCAACCCTTGTGAAAAGGTTTCTTCTGATGATTAGAGAATGGCTTATAAGGTACTGCTAGTATTGAAGGATTCAAAGCAGAAAGAATTCCCTTTTCAGAATAAGATTGAAGATGTATTTCTTCAGCCAATAACTCACTCACAACAGAGTTAATAGAAGGCAATGGAGAACGATGCAGAATTGAACCTTTAAGTCCTTCGAAGTCACTGCGAAGTGCTGTTAAAAACTGTACTAATCGTTGTTGCTCTCTACGCTCAATATAGGCACCACATGCCTTTAATTCTGCCAATTCTGTAAGAGCCAATTGATCCCAAAGATCTGTCATAGTAGAATAAAACTCTTGAATACTCATATTCTTCTGATGAAGACCTCGTATGTCATTCTCTAATTGATACAGTTTTGCGAAATTTGATTGCGTGAAGAACCTTTGCAGATGATCCCAAACCTCTTTTGTTGTCTCATACTTCACCAACTGCGTGCCTATCGAATGTTTAACAGAATTTTGATCCAAGTAATGACCTTTGTATTATTTTCCTCCCATGTATCTATCAAAACAACATCCCTCTCCTCAATGTTCTTCGGTATCATATAAGTTCCACTAACATGCCCCCACATCTTCTTACCTTTAGGAAAATTTCTCATTACATAGCTCCAATATGAATAGTTCTTCACATCCAACCTCACACTCACAAACTGAAGCGAATCATCTTTTTCAGTAGCCATAATCAACAATAACAAAAAACTAGAATGCAAAAGCAGCGAAAAACCAAATACCAAATTACAGAAACTGAACAAAAATTCAGAAACTAAACAAATATCTTCTCACTACTATACGATTGCTCCAAAACAAAAAACAAATTTGTAGAAACTGAACGCAAATATCAAATTGCAAAAGCTGAAGGGAAGACGAAATATCAAAATAATTGCAAAAATTGACGAAATATCAAATTTTACAGAAATAAAAAATAAAATCTCACTCCAAAAAATAATATAAATTTGATTAATTTTAAATATTAAAATATTTATACAGTATCTTTAAATTATGACTTGAAGCCAAAAGTTACTTTTCATGAATGATGCTACAAATACCCTACCTTCAAGTACTCCACAAATTAACCGATGCTCTTCAATACAACAGATAATGTAATCAATGGTCGTGCTCTAGCTGTGGCAATGGCAATGACAAAGACAGTTGCATTTTCTTGAGCATAATTGTTTAATGATGGTATTGAAATTTATCATTATCATTTCAAAATAAGAAAATCAAAGATCCTGAATATAAAAAAGATGTTTTTATGAGAATGTTATTTTAAAAGTACTAAAATTTATTCTTAAATTATCACAAAGATATATTTATTTTTTATTTTTTTATTTATGTTTTTTAATCAAATATATTTGTATTTCTCGTCCCTTGAATACTAACCAAATATAACCTACATATCTATTTTTTTTCATTTGATTTCTAATTTTTTTTAAAGTATTTGATTATTATGTCATAAAATAAGATAAAAGTTGAGTAAAAACAAGCACCCACCCCTTGCATATTAAATACGCTTATAAAATGCTTCATTAGGTAATTTGGGCCACAAATACCAAAACCAAAATAACCTCAACCAATAGTCATTACTTCAAATTAATTTTAGAATTAGATTTATTTGACTTATATCTAAAAGATATTTATCTGAATTTCTTCCTGTAAAATTATTTGTGAGTGGAGTATTTTATAAAAACCGATAAAAGAAATTCTACTTTAATTTTTTGTCAAGATATGTCTATCTTGATATATAGAAAAAATGAGGAATGTATTTCTCCTCCCTCCAATACTCCAATAGTATAGGTTCAAGCCTCATTCCCTGTGTAGAGGGGGAGAATATTAAACTTGATGATTAGAATAGTGTTTAGTTATTATTTTAGAATATAAACATATTGTTATTGAAACTATGGAATTGATTAATTAGTTTTATCAAGATTAAATTATTATTTGTTAAGTGTGCTTTCTAATAAAAAAAATGTCTTGATGCGACCTGATCAACTTGACAGGTCTCAAAACAAATCGGACAATCGTTAAAAATATAGTTTGACTAAATAAATTTAAGATGACATATTTTTAAAAAATAAATAAATGAAGATGGTGAAATTTGAGCTCGTAACTGCTTGGTCATAAAAGCTCTGATACCATGTCAAAAAACTATGATATGATTTATATAGGTGAGATTTCAAGATATGATTTGTATTATTCTTTAACATGTTAAATTATAATTAAATCTTCATTGACATATAGGATTTTATTATTTGTTTTTTTGAAGGAGAATAGGTACATGCAACAATCTTTACTGTTCCTTCATTTAGGAATATAGAATTCAAATATGGTTTTAAGAGTATATATTTATAGGGTACAAATCTGTTTGTATAAGCAATATTTTCATAAATTTATCAATTCTGCAGCTGGAAAAAAGAAATAGACTCAATATTGCACCTAAGAAGACCGATAAAATGAAGCTCTTTCCCGGGGCATAGGCTGACAGAATTTAAACCCCAGAACCTGAACACAAGTTGTAGGATTTTAGAGTTACATTTTTTTATTATATAATTAAATAAAATTAGCATTTTCTTTGTTTTCGAGTATTAATTTTTTTATATAATTAAATAAAAATAATTTTATAAAAAAATATTAAACTTAATAAAATTTATAATCAAGAAAACTCTTAAATAATTTGATTTGAAGTCCTAGTGATTAAAAGATTTTAAGATTGACTCATTAGACTTAGTTTAATAATTATTCAGTAAATTTTCTATTACCTAAATATTATTTTTTTATATTAATTTTTTTTTATCCAACCAATAACATAATATTAACTAGTTCTATTTTTATTAGTTGAAAAACAAAGCTTCTCTATGAAAAAAAATTATTTTTAGCCCTTGGGTAGTAAAATACTTAATTGAAAAATCAAAAAAATTTAGTAATAATGTTGATATAAAAATAAATTGGGTGCAAAGTCGATAATACCCAAGTAATTTAATGGTATATTTAATGTTTGCCCCTGTTGAGATTACGAAGAGACCAAATATAAAAGTATTTATAAAAAGATTTTAGTTTTGAAGTTCTTAAATCGATTCTGGAGGACCGCTGTATCTCAGAGCACCATATCATGGTGTGCATCCTGGACAAGCGGAAAGCACTTGTCGCCGTTTTGCCTTTTAGAAACTCTAATGCTCCAATACTTTCGGTGGAGTTTAGCTTCTTTTTTTCACTTAACCTTCAGCTCTGCTACAGTTCAGTGAAAAATGAATTTTTGAGCATGAAATACCCATAACCTAATCCCGTCATTAAATTCTACACAAGCAAACGACGCGTCATTTTCAAATGTAATTGTAGCAATACATTATTTTTTGTTTTCTTTGATAAAGAAGAGATGATATGTCATCCAGTTTTTAATATAAAAAATTAAAAAGTCTGGCTCACGAGGGAGGCCTTTTCTTTAATGAGTTAGGTACATGGACCCACATGTCTAACTTCTTTTGCCTTTTTTTTATTGCCCCTGCATTTTACACTTTAATCATTCTAAAGGATTAGTTAAAAAACAATTAGAACTTTTTTTATCAGATACCATTGAAATTTCAATTCTTTTAAGATTGTAACCTTTTTTCATATTATTTTAGCAACATTTCTTTCTTTACACCCTTTCGTGGTGGTTTTTTTCTTTTTTATATAAAAACATTTATGTGATTGATAAAACTTTTTTGTTTGTTGTTTGATTAAATACTCTTTTTTTTTTTTTTTAAAAACCTCCTGTTTGGT